AAATTATAAAGCAGTAATGTGCTTAATGTGGGCTCTTTAAGTCTAATATGTGCTGTGCAGCCAAAGTGACGTCCGTAATAAAACATAGTGAAGGTCAAGTGGATTTTGTTTGATCTTTGTGCAGAAAGCTGCTGAATTAACTCTGAATAACAAACAATGGAAGGTTTGCATAATATTAATGATGTATGTACAGCTCATGGTGAGGGTCTGAAGGACTTTTTACTCTCTGGTTGGTTAAAAGCAGAAGAAACACGCTGTTAGATTAGAAAACATGCAAACAGTTATGAACACAACAGTTTTGGTCTGTTTTGTGCAGCTTTGACAGTGCAAACTGTAAAGTGTGGCTCGTAGCAGAGCACACAGCTGTAACAGGAAGAATCAGATGAAAGACAGTCAGAAATTACAAGAAAAAATATTAGATTTTAAAAAATAAATGACTTTAAAGTGATTCGTTGAATGCGTCGTCTTTTCTAGAAGAGGAAGCCTCAGGTTTTAAACTGAAATGACTCTGAGGTCTTGCAGGTCAGTTGTCAGATGCTTTTAAATGAGTTAACTGTAAATAAAGCTCTTGAAATAGCTTTAAGTGTGATTCTAGTTCATAACAGAACAGTTTCTGTGCTGCTTCTTCAACCGTGTCAGCAGCTTTAGAGCCGACTCGTCAGGAAGCAGAAGTAAAACTGGCTGGTCTTGAATAAAAACTAGAACATTTCACCACTCTTAAAGCTGTGCATGAACAAAACATGTCCATGTCATGTAATGTGAACCTTTAACTTCACAGAGAGGCGCTGAGGAGGTACGAGGAGCTGTCGGAAATATTCTCAGACAAGGACAACTACTCACAGAGCAGAGAACTCCTGAAGGAGGTGAGAACGCATCGCCGGCGCAGATTAAACATTCTGGGATGAAACCAGGATCAGACACTGAACGGTGGCCTCGGTTACGTTATACTGTGTGCAGAGAGCAGGTTCAGCGGGAAACTTGATCTTTTATTTATGGCACGCGGAGGCCGGTGTCTGCGTGGGTCATGACGCAGCGTGAAACCAGCAAGTTAAAAGTGAAACGTTCCAACCTGGACGCTGTGTTTTCTCCATATCGCTTCATTTGACCACACGTGTTGAGTGGTGATAAGCTAACAGGTGGCTGTAGAGGCCGCTGAGGCTGCGCTTTGTGCTGGACGGCTGCCAGCCTGAGATGTAGCTGGCTGGTTGGGAGTGGAGTCCTGGTTTGGAGTCACATTCGACAGCTCTTTTGTGATGTTTTGGACCTGTTTCATGGTTATTTTTGCTCAGATCTGCGCTGCTCTTGGCTGCTGCTGAGGCTTTGACTGCTTATCTGTTTGCTGCATTGCTACAAAATAAAAATAAGAAACCGTCTACCTTTCCCACACCGCTGCAAACACAGATGATGTTTCCACTTGTCTGCTGTGCTGTGGATGCATCAACCCAGCAGGCATTACAAAGACACCCTGTTTTGGGTCTTTAGTCAGTAACCGTCTTCTAAATGACTGTTTTATGTGGGATCTGTTTTGAAAACAGAAGCATCCTCCCAGCCGCTCACATTCATGTTGGCTTCCTGCAAGACGAGCAGTTCTGTCCAAAAATCAAACGTCCTCAAACTTTACCCTCCAAAAAACCTCAAAGTATGACATCTCATAGTGAGCAGGAGCATGTAAGACACATTTTGCATGTGTTTGAATGAATCTACATGGAAAACAGAAGCTTCTAGTATTTTTTGTGCAAACATTAGAGTGAAGCAGGATTTCACAGGAACACCAGCCTTCAGCCATTCAAACAGTTTTGTCCAATAATCCCACAGTTACGACCCGACACAGAACGATATGATACCGTACGATGTACAGAACAGCACTGGTGTGTCACAGCTGGTCCGAAAACTCACAATGCAGACACAGAGAGAACCAGCAATTTAATTTAATTTACTATAAAGATGTCAACAGAAAATACATAGAATACCGTAAACAGGAACGAAGCATTTTAAGAATCTACACAAAGAGCTGGAGAGTCACCAGGAGGCTGAAGAACGAAGAAACCACACAGACAGGGACAAGCAGAGCGAGTTCTGACTGGACGTGAAGCTGCCAACAGCATCAAACACAGAGTTTATGATCAAAAAGTTCCAGATAGATCAGAGGTGGTCGAGCAGGAGACCTCTGATCATTGGAGATGGAATCATCTGTGTGCCAAAGTTCATCATAACCCAGAACCTTCTCAGATCTTTCAGTCTGAACAGCACCAGTGTGCACCGCTAACGTGGCTAAAAACAACTCATGCAAACTGCAGCTCTGAACAACCAGGACACTCTCCTGTCTCACATCTTGGCGACCTGCGTCCCATAATTTGAGCAGCGGTACGAGACGTTTGTTATTGTGCCTGTCAGCCGCCACCGCTGGACCACATCTGTTAGATTCCTCTCTGCACCGGCGTCCTCAGCTGGAAACAAGGCGCACTGTGAGAGCTTTAGGACGGCTTTAGACACCAGAACAGTCTAATCTGAGCTGAGCACAACTGCCCTTATTCTGTCAACAGCCTCCCTCCGGTGTGAAGACGTACATTATATTTAGTTTGCACCGTGTCAGCGAGTTTGGAAATTGGCAGTATTAGCTGTGTTTTGATTCTCTGTAATGGTGCAGGCATCAGTACTTCTGTATTAGCTGCCATTTTACCCACGACGCTCCCGAAGGAATTCAGCCAAACATTTGCTTTCATTTCGAAGCTTCACTCTGAGCTTTGATGCCACAAAAACACCATCGCCTTCTGCTGGCCTTTGATTTCTCCCAGCGCAGTTACTTGCTTTCCTTTATCTCACGGCTCGTCTAAAAATGACTGCGACTAGCAGACAGGGTGTAAGATGAATGATTTAGACTTAACAAAAGACTCAAAGTTCGGAGACATAAATTATTCAGTAAACTGTCATTGGAGTTTGACGGTGTGATAACACTTTACTGTAGTGGGTTTGTGACACGCTTTGACTGGCTTCTGTTAAGTTCTCATGACAGATCTCTAGACTGAAGAGTGTCGACTTTATTATTAATGCCACAAAAACATTTGCATTTTTGTTAATATCGGTTCGGATCAGTCATGACACCAGCAGGCTTCATCTCACATTCATTGTAATTTGTGCTTTTATGCTATAATCGCTGCATATCGTCTTTAATGATTATTTTTATCAATTCAAAGCTGAATCAAGCATTGTAGTAGTAAATGATATATATATATATATAAAAAGGAAATATTAGACTGTACTGCCCAGTGAAGAGTCTAAACTGTCTCAGCTCTCTATAGGTGGAAAAGGGGAAGTAACGTTACAACCAGATGAACCACAGCTTGGTGTATGTTAACGGGTAAAAGTTGCAAAAGGCGACACCATAAATTCAGCAGAGGTTGGAGTAGGAAGGCTGCTCAGCTTAAGGTGGCAAGAAAAACAGAAGGCAGATTTCTAGACAGAAGCAGTATGAACATATACAGTCATGACTGGATAATCGACCCTTAACAATCCTAAACCTGCTATCTGACAGGTTTGTAGGAAAAACCAACAGAACCCATAAAAACAGCCTTAACATAGCGACAGCCTTGGATTGTGACTCCGACATGACATTTAATGTCACCAATCAGGATGACGGCGTATTATCTGACTGAACAATCCCACAGATTGGCTACGTTCACACTGCAGGACTTGATGCTCAATGAGGATTTCTTTGTGACTTCCTTCACGTTTCCACTTCAATGCGACTTGTATGTGATCTGCTGTGTGAACTTCATACGACCCAAAAGTGTCCCGCATGCGCAGAAGAGGACACGACGACGTCACACGCAGCAGCGTGCTCAGTGTTTATGGAAGTAAACATGGATGGTAACGGTGGAGCGTATCTGCCACTCCCCCGCCGCCACCGATGGTGGAAACAGAAGTGTGAGCGCTAACTAAACTAGCATCAGCAGCCAAGTACTGCCTGTGTGTTCTGGACACTTCCACCCCGTCAGAGCGCTGCCCCGGGGTGGAAGTGACCCCCTACCACACCGAGTGATTGGATATTCATCATTAATTGGGCCTGAATATCCAGAGAGCAGAAAGTTCTACTATCCGACATAGAAGAAGGTTTTACGTTTAGTGTCGGATCATCGAGTCACAGCTGTACTTAAAACGACTTGTATGGATGGTGGCGTTATAAACCGAATGACCAACCTGCCTCTGAAGACCCCCCAGGAGGGTTTTATCATCTTTGAGCTCATTGTTTTGGTTCTTTAGTCACAGCAAGAAGCTCAATGAACCCTCTGCTGTATATAAAGATGGACAAATTCTCAATGACGCCCCCTACAGGTTTTCTGGCTCCTTTTAACTGCCAGTTAATCCAAAAATGAGCAAAAAGGTAAAGCAGCTGAGGCAGGCCATGTAAACGTCTCTGGGTCACGGATTATCCTATGATGGCCACGATGCATAACTTTAAGTCTTAAAACAATTTAAACAGGTGAGTTGTATTGACCCTCTGCACAGCCGTCAAGAACAAGGAAGCTCGCTATAGAGACCAGTACCAGGCAGTAGACATGCTTATTTCTGCTATAAAGCTGGACCCTTTAAAACGGGGCTACAAGGGGATGGAGTCGCCTTTGGAGCAGCCTCTAGTGTCCATTCAGTGAACTGCAGTTATGACACGTTTGTAGAACCAAACAGCACAAAACTAATGCTAGTTTGTCTGCTGGTACCTGTTCAGAAACACATTTAAGAATCAGCCTAAAAAAATGACAATAGATCAGTTTTTCAGCTTTTCTCCACCTCCAGGTGCCCAAAAGATAAATCATTGCATTTTAAATCCACTGAATACTGTTTACTGTTAGAAAATGTCTGATCTGGCGCTCCTCCAGCGGCAAACATAAATTGTTGATTTCCCTTTGAGGACTCTGACTACTCTACTGTCTCAGTAGAATTGTTCAAATTTTCCATTTTCAGCACATAAAGGACTTCGAAAACAGAAGCACAGAGTTTAAACTTGCGCTGATAAAGATCATGTGTTAAGACGAAACGCTAAATAAACCTCCTGGTGAAACTGAACTCAGGATTTGCCCTGATCTTTGTCTTGCAGGAGGGCACGTCGAAGTTCGCCAACCTGGACAACAGGCTCAACAACAGACACCTGAACAGGGTGAGTGAGGTTATAGAGCTGAGCAGATGCCTCCACCTTCACAAACCTTCACAAACCCACTGCTCCATCATCTACCTGAGACAGCATCAGTCAAACTCCAGTTATCTCTATTCTTGTCATTTCTACTGAGTCAGATCCACTCAGCTTCAGTTTGGTTGATTTTATCTCAAGCAAACAACAACAAAAATACGTTTGCTGAAAATCTACAAAAATGGAGTTCTCTGTTTATGTAAATGAACTCTTCAGGTGTATCAGACTGTGATGAAGTTTGGAGGACGGCGATCACTGTGTTCAATCTCTGGGTTGTTATGAAACAGTGAACTCCCTCCTGTAACCTGGAGGCTGTTGTCGGACACCACGCAGCTGTAAGTGTCTGAAACTGTGCAGCTACTTCTCTAAAACAGGCTGAGATGTGCTCGTCTGAGGTCACATGTACAGTTTAACGTTGCTAAATAATTCTGTTTGGAGTGTCGCATCAGTTTGGGTTACGTCAAGACAACATTTCAGGAAGCTTCGCTAACTGCAAATGACCTCGTGACTTTTCGCCAAGGCAACACCTCAGATGTGCACGCACATAAAAGAGGAGCGTTTTCACTGACTTTACAGCCCACGCCTCGGGTGAATACCAAACGCTGTAGCCTGAAGGGTTGTACACCCCCACAGGCTCTCTGTGGCAGACCTTGGAACATTTAGGAATGATGTAAGAGCCTGCAAAAATGTCATTAGTATTGTAAAAGGCCAGGGGACGGAGATATAGTGTAATATCTTCAGAAAGATGATCCACGGTTAAATCGACTTTCAGGTGTATTTTTAGGGCTTAATGAGGAGAGGGCACGACGCCAACCTCATCCAGCGCCGTCACGTTTTGTGGAGTTGAAAGCACATTAATAAAACGCCCGGCTGAGAGCTTTAGGATGGATAACATTCTGAAAGCACTTGAAAACAGTGTTTCCCTGCTAAACGCTACATCCAGACGCTGATACTGATGTCAGCTGTGCTAAGCAGGGGGCTGTACGGCGGTTTGATGGAGGTTGTAGGGGATCGACCGGCACGCAGCAGCGCCGTGGAACACAGAGCTGTCGTCTCTCTGAGTGTGTGATGTGCTGAATCCTGAGCCATCGTGTGAAAAATAGCTGCAGGCGGCTGCTCTGAAATCCCTCGCTGTGTGGGCTCCGTACGTTGTGTGAATAGAAACCTCGGGGGAACTGATGAAACGCTCTTTTCTCTCTCTCTCTTTCTTTTTTCTACACACAGTCCAACGCCCAGGGCACCGTGCCCTACCTGGGTATCTTCCTCACAGACCTCACCATGCTGGACACGGCGGTCAAAGACAGGCTGGATGTGAGTTGATTTTATCTGTGCGGAGGGGAGAGCCGGTCGCGTCCCCTGGAAGTTTCTCAGTATTTTACAATTATCAAACTGACATCCTGTCACTCCCTTTGCAGAATGGCTACATCAACTTTGACAAAAGGAGAAGGGTGAGTGTTGCAATCCGAGTGAGAGACAACAGGTCGGACACGGCCTCCATCCCACTGTTTAAGATGAAAGGCGTTCTGCATTTAGCTGCACTCAGCTGAAGCAGATCGGAACAAAATCAGCTCCACTTTTTGCTGCATTAACTGCGAGTAATAAGAGCGTGAGTAAGAGGGAGCAGAGTAACACAATATCTGAGGGAAGAAATGATTAAGTTAAGGACGCCTCGAGGTGCTTCTATTACAGCTGGAAAAAAAAACACAAACCCAGCAGGCTCAGTAATACTAGACCAGCCAACATGGTGTTTTGTTTTTTCTATCATTATGAAACCTTGTGGTGACGTGGCTCTTTGTTAACAGGAATTTGAGGTTTTAGCTCAAATCCGCCTCCTGCAGTCTTCCTGCAAAAACTGTGTTTTCATTGCTGACGAGGCCTTCGTGCAGTGGTACCACAGCGTGCCCACGCTGACGGAGGAAGAAAGGTACGCATCTGTGTGTTTGCTTCAGCTGCTGATCAAAAATGATCTATAATGCAAAAAAACTATTGCATGTGTTGATCAATTTAAAGAGCCCATACTATGCACATGTTCAGGGTGTTACTGGGTCGACTGGAACATGTTGACACGCTGGACACTGAACCTCTCCTCACACTCTAAGGCGGGTGAAAAGATTTAAGTTCTGGTCTCTTTAAAGGTCCCCCTCCTGAAAAAAAGCCTGGTTGACTGCAATCGGTCAGTCGGCCCGACGTAGCTCTAAGCCCAGATCTGAGAGGAGTTGGAGGCATCGTTGCTGTGGTGAGGACATAATGGTGGACTGTGAGGAAGCTGCTCGTCCTTTGTTTGAGGGCCAAACTAGCCGGTCGGCAGGCGTTATGCACATTTAGTGATGTAGATAAGTCGATGAGGAAAAGCCTGGACTTCTAATGAGGAGTTTCTGGCTGGTAAGCAGCAGTGTTCGCTGTGGGAAAGAAGAACTCTTGTTGGGGTAGCAGAACTTTAACATACTTAAAAAAGCTTTAACACAGTAAAAGAACAGAAAACCCCCCAAAAGCATGTTATGGGCTCTTTAAAAAATGTTTCTGTTGTATTTAAGTCTTTCAGGTTTTAATGACAGATGTTTATCTCAGTTACAGACTGTCCAATGAAATCGAAGCGCCCGGAGAGCCGAGCCCTCGTGGCCTTACCCCGACAGTCATCATCACACAGTGCCCAGAGTAAGCCATGCAGAGCACCAGCGTCACACAGCGAACATACAGCTCACAATGTAGGGTTTTGTTTGGTAGCTTAGTTTGTGGTCAGCTGGGCTCTTCACCAATCAGCCAATCAACACCAAGGCAGGCCGCTAAAAGTAAGCCTGGCATTTACCTGCAGAAAGGCCAGCAGACAAAACAAAGGGATTAAAAGGAGTATCCAGGTAGGCAGGCAGCGGTCAATAACACACGCAAGGCAAACACGAGTGCGCCTGGCTGGAAGGCCGTGGCAGCAGCACAAAGAGCTGACATCTGGCAAACAGGGCTTTTCATTATGCTCGTGTCTCCTCCTCACGTCTCAGCTGCCTCCAGCGAGGATATCAGAGAGAGATGTGAGGAAGAGACATGAGGATGGAGCACTCAGTGCTGCGAAATGAGAACCCTTTGTCTGTAGCGGTAGTCTTAAGCAACGGCAGGTAATTAGAAGCTGCTGCACAGCTGTATCAGCTACCAAATGCTCCCGACACCCACACCGGCGTGGCATTCATACGTCACACCGCTGCTGAAACAATTCTCTCTCTGCACTGAAATGATTGATCTGTGGTGGCAGAGAGGGAGCAGTTTGTGGGTCAAGGGAGGAGAGAGGACACGAGGAATCATGAGGTTGCATAATGAACAGCGACCGCGGTGTGTGTGGTGGACCGGTGGTGGTATGTAGAGCAACCAGCTAATGAGCAGAGAGAAGGCAGGTGAGCAGAAGGACGGGGAAGGAGGGCGGATGGGTGTCGCTGGCTCAAAATGACTAGAAAGCTCCAACAGTCAAAGCAGGTAGTCTTCAAACTTAAAGCATTTCCCCTCAGGGATCAATAAAGTGTTCAGATTCTGATTAGCAGGCGAGAATGGATGAAACGCTGCACAATGTGACAGCACAATGTCTGTAGTGGCCCTGGAGGGGCTGTTTGGAGTCAGAGACGTGTTTGTGATTGGCATCGAGTCCTCAAATAAAAACAGAGACGTTACAAACCGAAGACGTGGAGCTGATGGGATGTGGGTTTTTAAAATGGTGCTGTCAGAATGCATCCTGGACAGTTTGGGTTATTAGAAGATGGACATAAAAAATAAAGGACCTGAGTTTAAGAAGTTTGATTCTGACATTTTAGCTTCTGCTGCTTTGATTGGGTTTTAACTGTATTTATTATATTCTAAAGCTGTGTTTGTAGGACGCCTGTAGGGAGCTTCTTTAAATGTGGTGCAATTAGTCACTTGCATTTAATAATAAAATAATTAGATTTAGGTATGAAAAAGTCACCATGACGTGTCATTCACTAGTTTGACACCAATCCGTAACAGGATAAAGAGACGCTTTAGATCTGGACATAAACTGTAACTGGGCTGGTCAGCGGAGGAAACAACCACAAGTTTTACTGTGTGGAGGCAAAACCTAACGACCAAAGTGAACTAGTGATGAAACAATTAGACCAACAATCATTAGTCGATGGAATAATTTAGAAAGTTAGGCAACAACAAGCTTGATCAGTGATCAGAACTGTTTGCTTGTTTCAGTTTCTTTTCACATTTCTGACAGCTGGTTGCACTAAACAGGACATTCCCGGTGCTCCTCCTGCTCAGCTGAACACAGTGAATTAATTGTGATAACTATGTGCTGCCCGGCCTGATTGTGTTTGGTGTGTGAACAGTCTGAGCACCTCGAGGACCAGCCTGGCGGGCGACAGCGACAGCCTCTTTGACTTCCAATCGCCGGTCAACAACCTGCTCTCAAAGCTCACTAAGGTAACTCAGCATCACTGTCCTGTGACTGTAGGTCAGGTTTGCATTTATATGAGCTCATTTCACAGTTTGCAGAGATCACCTCTTTTTTTATGTCGTGTTCTTCTCGGCCATTATTCTAGAACCAGTCCTTTTCTGGGTCGTCCTCTTCCTGATGACTGTTATTTTTATTGCAGCACATGAGGTCTCCGTCTGTGTCCTGTCTGGATGTCGACACGTCGCCTCCCACCAACGACTCCACCCCCGCCGCTCTGACTCCCACCACTCCCACAAAGTCGCACCGCCGCTCGGCCTCCTGCGGCAACAACCCCGCCGGCGGCGTGCCAGGGTCGGGGCCCGACATGCGGATCATCAGGATACGGATGGACCTGCAGGACGGAAACCTGTACCGCAGCATACTGGTACCAACTCAGAACATTTGACTTCATTTCACAGCAGCAGGGAGACAGCAGCAGAGCCTCCGTCATTAATTATCTGCACCCGTGCCGCACTTACAGCTTGTCGTCCTATCTGCAAGGATCCCGTAATGATAGTCATCAGAACCAGATCCTCGGGATACAGTGGACTCAGGATATCATTAGTGCAAATCAAGCTGTCCTTTTGTCATTGTTATTCTCTTCTCTCCCCTCAGGTTACGAGCAATGACAAGACCCCCACTGTGATCAGCTCTGCCTTAGAAAAACACAATCAGGACCCCAAACCGGCGTCCAGATACGAGCTGATCCAACTCCTGCCTGAAGGAAAAGGTAAAATCCACTCGACCCCACAGCAGCAGCACAGGCTGGAAATTGAATTGTGACTTCGTAGCCGTGGAGCGGTTTTATCTGCAGTGTGTTATCTTGTTTGAATGGAGACAGCATTGTCCTCTTCCTCAGATTCTGATCTCGGCTGTGGCTCAGAATATTGTGCTAAAGTTGGTTCGCTTCAGGTTTCTAGTGCAGCACAGTCACACGGAGAGGAAACGATTATCGCTGCCAACGAGGTCATAAGTTTGGTTCGTCAGGTAGCAGAACATCAGGGATCTGGCATCATGATGTCATAAGAGGAAGCATTTTAATTATTTTCTCACCACATTAGAAACAAATGGAGCACATACGCAACAGTTTGTGCAAATTGAGTTTTGACTAAATGTTTTCTGCCACTGAAACAACACATTTTGTAATCGTTTGGCTTTTATCGAAGATCCCCGCCAGGCTGCCGGCGTCATTTAGGAATGATGTGAAGAACATGACGAGGAGTTGGAGGTGCTAACTCCAAATTCCCCAGATTTCAACCTGATCGAGCGTCTGTGGGAAAAACAAGTCAGATCCATGGAGGTCTCTCCTCAAAGCATGCAGGACTTTAAGGATCTGCTGCCAACATCTTGCACAACATTTAGAAAGACCAAATGCAATGGAGCTTGTTTTGGAGTTAAACTAGTCGACTAAAGTTGATTATTGCAGCTTTAAAACAACTTCATCAGTCAAAAACTGCTAAGGAAAACAATGCCACGACCATTTTTACATTCTCCAAGTCAAAAACTTTCAACAGAGCACAAACTAAACTTAATTTATGCAGATTTTCCAGCAGCTCAGCTGAAAACGTCTTCGCTGCTGTTTACACGGAGAGAGAAGCAAAGCTGCTGCATTCTGAACCAGTCGGAGGCGATAGAGTGACTCCTGATTCAAGCCAGAAAGGAGGGAGATGCTCGAGTTAAGCATGACTGAGAGAGTTAAAGAATCAGCTGCTGATGTCTTGGTGATACCAACGGACACCTGCAGACGTCTGTGGAGTCCAGACCTCAGTGGGTCAGAGCTATGCTGGTTGTACAAAAAGGGACGTATACAGTATTAGGAAGGTGGTTTTAATTAAGTCTAGTCCAGAAAAACAACAATTCTAAAAATCAAATGCGCTGAAGACGACCGACTGATCACATCTGGTCAGAACTTTGTGGTCCTGTTATCAGTGCAGCAGCCTTGAAGACACTCTTGATGTGTTCATTTGTTTTTTTTTTCTTTGCAGAACTGGTCATCCCCGCCACAGGAAACGTCTTCTACGCCATGACGCCATCCAGCGTTGACTTCCTGCTGAGGAGGAAAGGCGGGAACCCTCCTCTTGGCTCGCAGCCAATCACCACGGAGACGAGCGCCACTTTTCCTCGAATCAAGGCCAAGGGGAGGAGACTGGTCCGGACTCTGTTTTGACGGATGTTTCTTCGCATGTCCGACATGAACCATAACCGTGGCCTTCTCAGTGCAAAAACATAAAGAAATCTACACATGCCTTTCTCTCCCCGTGCTCCGACCAAGTTTGTTCTACGGGAACACCGAGAACAAGCCTTCCTGTTTAATCGGCGGCTCCACACGGCAGGGCGTGGCGGGCGCTCCACACCTCCGGCTGCTGCTTCCACCATCTGCTGCTGAAGACCAGCGTCGGTGTTCCTCTGTCCCAGCAGTATGCATTACTAATTCTCACCCAGAGGGAGAGCAATGGCAGCCTCTAACGGAGTGCTTTCGGTGCTGGCTCTCGAGTCCCTGTCAGGTAGCACTTGATGCTTTTTCTTTTTTTTCCAGCTCAACAAAGAAGATCTGTTTTAATTACTGAAACCACCAAGAAGCCCCTCGTTGCTGTGTGCCTCTGCCGTGACTGACATTTCCAAACATAAAAAAAAAAAAGTTGAATTAGTCAGAGCGTGCTTCTGTGATCACCTCGTGATGCCGTCGAAGGATTTTGGACCGTAGACATGCAGAACCCGTCGGACCCGGGTGCCGGGAGCGGGTGGGTCAGAGATGGTAAAAGCTGGAGAGCATCGCTGTAGCAAAACACTGGAGAAATATCTATGTTTTGTACATATTTATATATTTTGTACGTCTGTATGATGTCAGCATTGTGTTTACACTCGCAAGGAGCTCGAGGTCCACGTGTGATGAGTGACACATCCAGGAAGCCCATCAGATACCTGCACAACCTCCACTTTAACAGGCCAGCGCGTGTCCACAGACATTCAGCTTTGAGTCCAGCAGAGATTCATTTCAGCACAAACCTAAAGCTGCATTAATCTACATTTTAGATCGACTGTGAGTCAGATGACTATTGAGTGTTTCTGACATGTTCATTGGGAAGTTCTTTGAGATTGAATAACGTTCTCCAAAAACATTCTAGAAATGTTCACTGACAACCACGTCGCCCCAAATTCTTCAGATATTTTCCAGATGCTACTTTCAGAATGTTCCTCCTTCATCATCCTCCAGACAACCTCTGGATGTGACTGTGTCTTAGTTCATCCTGAATCAGATAAGAACAATATTTAATATTATCCTCACAACGTTCTCTGAACATTCAATTTAAATGGTTTCTTTAAAACATTATTAGAACGTGTAGGTAATGTTACCCAGTGCTATAACAGGTGTGTTGTTTTGGTTTAATAGTCTAACTATATAATTCCTCACAGCTATCATCATCACCAGCAGCAGCAGCTCTGATTGGTCGTCTGTAGACAGCAACCAGCTAATCAACTAGCATGTGAAGCATTTAAAGCCGGATCGGACCAGAGCCAGATCTTCTACCCCGGAGCTGCTAGAGACCAAATTTAAACTAATTTCACCGTTACATTAACAGATAAACGCTCACACTGATCAGCCACAGCATCAGAACCTCCAGCAGGCGATGTGAAGAACATCATTCATGTCGTAACAGTTAAAGGTTCTGCTGGGAAACCTTGGGTCCTGCATCCACGTGAACGTCACTACGACACTTCTAACCCACCTAAATATCGTCGGTGCACTCCGTCACACTGCAAACTCTGCTCAGGAACAGCTCGAGGAACACGACAAAGAGCCCAAGCTGTTGGCCCCGCTTCCAAACTCCTCAGATCCTAATCTGATTCAGCAGAACCAGAACAAGGCTGATCCTCAGAGGCCACAACCCAAAGGATCCGCTGCCAGATCCGGACGCCACAGGGACCACAGAACCGGCCTCAACAAGTCAGAGCTGTTCTGGTAGCCAGAGGGGATTCTACACCACATCGGGCCGGTGTGTTTGACGCTGTGGCTGGTCTGTGTGTTTTCCTTGATTACACGTCGATACATTTTTCTTTATCTTGAACCTCGTGGACTAAAATGTGATTACTGCAGCTTTAAACGACACTTTAAAAATGAATGGCTTCGCTTTATTTTATTACTGTTGAACCAAAAAAAACCTGCATGGAGCACAATAAGGATAAAACATAAACCTCCACCACCAGTTCTTAGGTTTCAGCAGAGCATCAGCTAGTTTATGCAGATGTTCCAGCAGCTCAGCAGGAAACATCTCGACTGCTGTTTACACGGAGCAACAAGCCTCATCTCCAAGTTTTAAATGTACAACTTTGGTTTAGTTTCAAACAGACAACCTCTTGGTGTGGCGCTCCCCGCTCGGTGCCGGTGAGGCCTCAGTACCGGCCGAGGCACGAGCTAGAAAAATAAATAAACAGCTTGACCAGGGAGAGGATTCTGGGTAATAATAGATGACGTGTGCTAGCATGATGCTATGCTACTGATTGATTTAGTGCCTTTCTCTACCGGGTGCTCACCTTTCTCATGTCTGCATCAGAATGTAAACGTGGAGGAAACGCCGCCGCCTCCTCCACCGCTGTGTAGTTCCACATCAAAGCTATTTATGCACTACATACAGGATGTCCTATTTTTGTGGTAATAAATTTACTTTTATATGAATTTCACTGCTTTCGGCTGACGTGCTGTGACATATGGGATAGATATTTTCCATGCTGCTGAGTGTCCCACACAGGAAGAGGATTTACAGCATCTCTACATGTCACATTCTGACGTTTCTATTTTTCCTCATAAACAAAGCAAAATGAAAGAAATACTGTTTTAGACCTTTTATTATTATTATTCAGATTCAAGACAGCCAGCATCTTTATCTTCAAGCAGAATCAAAGTCAGAGTGAATGTACGTACGTGGAAATGTGACACGAGAATCAAATCAGAAGCACAAAAACTAAAAAAAGACTCGATAACAGAACATCAGACACTCAGCACAAACATTCACCAAGTATTAAAGCCTTCCTCACACTTGGATCTTGTCAGTGTCTTTAATTGATCCTCGCCGCATTGTTCTACTTTCACACATTTTCCAACCAGTGAAGCTCGACGGTGCTCTCCCCGAGAACCAACCAGCTAAACGGATAAAATAAGCCAAGCGGCGCTCATCCAGTTCGGTTAAAACGGCGCCCAGTGGCTGTGAAGACACTCCAGCAGCTCACACTCGTCTCTAAAGTGGCCCCTTTGAGGCTTTTGTGCTTTTCAAAACGAACACCACTTTTGTCCCATAATCCACGCTTTCCCGTCAGATCTGACTACTTTGCTCCTGAAGCACCGTTCTGTGTGCATTAAGGAGGAGGATGTGCAAAAAACAGAATCACACCGAGCACGCAACAGAACAAGTGGCATGTGTTTAATCAGCTTCCTGGGATGGGATCTTTATTTTCCACTATGGTTGGATTAGATTTAATTATTGCAGCTAGAAGACGAGTATTTTTAATTTCACCGGTTGGCAGTGGGTGAAGCTCGGCTACGAACACGTGGGTCACAAACTTTAATCTGAAGCGGAGGACGGTTGTTTAAATCAAATAACACCCACACAGTCCCTACAAAGCAGATCAGAGTTAGACTCTTAAGCATTACGTGAACATGTTTTAGTCACAAATCTCTACTGTTGGAGGCCTGTTTTGTTGGCCTTCATGCAGCGTTTTAAAGGAGCCCTGTGGAGTTTCCCTGCAACCAGAGTTTCTGTTCAGATTCTGTGTCACTCACCAGAATGCATCATGTGCATCGCGGAGGTTGACAAATGTGCTGAATGCGTTTCCTTCCTCATGACACGCTGCCAGCTCTGCTTGTTTCATAGTTTGACATCTGCCATTCTGCTTCCATGATGTCAACCAGCTCCCAGTCTTCCTCTGTGCTTCCTTTGTTGTTGTTGTTTCTCTGCTCATTACTGCCACCTGTTGGTCACTGGAGGGGTGTTAAACCATCCTCGTGCGAGTGTAAACGAACCAGGACACTCACTGAGACACTGTCCTCCACCATTACAGATGGAGACGGATTACTGATATTTAGCTAATCAGCATATTTAGATACGTAGCTCGTGCCAGATCCACGGTTAGTTTTCCACCTGCTGCCCTCCATCCTACAGCACCAGCCACTTTGTTTTGCATTTACAGAGCCAGACCTGTGAGTTTTAGCAGTGCACACACGAAGTGACTAACGAGCAGAGATACTCACTCAGTTTGACCAAAACTGAGTCGGATTAGAATCGCTGACTTTACCTTTAACTAATCAAAAACCAATCGATAACACACAGTGTGGCCCAGTGGGAGGCTGTTGGCTGGATGCAGCGTGCAGCTTCACTACTGATTCCTACACGATGCATCTTAAACAATGTCCAGAACTCCACAGGAAACCTTCAAGGAACTGATCGGACACGTAAAACCCAAAGTACGTAGAAAAGAATGTGTGAAGTTTAAAAGTCAAACGTGGGTCGTTTCAACAGGTTTCATTAAATGAAATATATAATAATACAGCACCAAATATGTTCAAGCATTTCCCTAAAAACCCGTCTGAGTTATTTCACCCCATCGACCCGCTGTGGTCCAGTCGTCGAGCCCAGTCCACCCATCAGCCATCAGCACTGGATCGTCCCTCCTCCACACGCCTCACACTCCAGCGCCGCCGTCCGGTAAGCCTTCCACACCACAGGGTCCCGCAGACACACCGTGCCTCCGCCCCGCTTCTCCTCCGCCTCGTTCCGGTTTATGTCCCCCACGCAGACCCAGCCTCCTCCGGCGCCCTGCCCGGCCGCCTTGGGGCTGACCGCCCACTTGGAGTGGTCCTGGCTGGCCTTGAAGCTGAACGTCTGGCCCGGGTGGATGAGCGTGATGTCCAGGACCTTCCAGCCCAGCGAGCAGTCGGACGGGAGGATGCCCGTGGAGCGAATCCAGAACTGGACCAGGAGGTCTGACTGGAGGGTGGGGGCCACCCAGGAGTGGTACAGATCTGACGAGGTGGAGAGAGGACGGACAACAGGAGAAGTAATTAAAGCTAAGAGATGCTCAGAGTGGACAGTTTGTAGCTGAAGGTCAAAGCAAAGCAAGACCAACAAACTCCTCCTGAGTGGTACCGTTGTCAAAAGAGGCTCCTTTGGCGAAGCTGATGAAGTCGGTGCCGTCCTTCGAGGTCAGCGTCACACTGCGATTGGACACAGGCTTGACATGTGGAAACATCTGACCGGACAGATGCTTCTTCTTGCAGACAGCAGCCAACGCCGGCACCACGGACGCCAAGGACTCCGGCACGTCGCAGTCGTACACATAAGGCTGATTGATCTGCAGCTGCTCTCCTGTAGCGCACAACAGATCAGATCGAAGGCAAGAACCGGAATCACTTCATCTGTTAAGCACTGAAACGGTGACACTGGTGCAGCAGCATATGAAGATCTTTCACCTTGACACGGCACAAAAACACAAAACTGAGGGATGACATCACTGCAGAACTTCACTGCTTTGAGAAAAATCCACAAATTTATCTTTTAGGTGATTTTTTTTTGGTATTTTGCTTCAGCTTGAGTCCCATCTGGCCGGGTGCACATTTCTGCAGCAGATTTCTCCCTGTTTGAAAAACCTCTTTGTGTTTAAAGCGACTCATTAAAAACTTATCACGGTCCCAGAAATTAAAGTGAAGAAAAACTTCAAGGCACCAGAAACGCTGTGAAACAACTTCAACAGGTTTTAGACGCAAAAGCGGATCAGAAATTGTTAATCGATACAAAAACCACACCAGAACTCGGTTAGCTGTCGTTGGAATGGGAACTATGGAAACACACACTTTAATATAAAACTGAGAGAAGCGCTGGAGAAGCTGCTCTGCTGATGGAAACGTCTGTCAATCGGCCACTATTCCATTTGAGGCTGAGATATTTCAATAACCACTGAGTAAAAAATAGGCGCGTTCGCAGCACTCAGAGGCTCATGATGGTGTTTCAGGGATTAAAAAAAACACTAAAAAGCACAAAAATGAAATCAGGAGCTGGAGGAGAGGGAGAGAAAAACTGCAGGATAAAAAAGTCAGAGAAAAAACTGAAGACATTCTGTGAGAAAAGCCACAAATTCACCAGAAAAAAACCTCCAAAGCTCCCCTTGGGTCACTTTACAACACGTCACAGCAACGAGTCAGAGAGGAGCCACAGAATACAGCTGTTCAGGTAAGTCTACCATCCATCCACCTTAACCTTCACAATGGGGGGCGGAGCCTATCCCAGCTGACTCAGGGTGAAGGCAGGTTCACCTGGACAGGTAAAACTTTTAAACTGGTTCTTTGAAAGTATTCATAATTGTCTGAACTTATTTTCTGTATTAAAGCTGAAGATTGAGATATTTAATTCATTAAAATGATCATAGCAATACTTTTTTTTCACAATTTAAGTTAGACTTAGCGCCACAGAAATGTTAAAAAGTTCAACCTGGTAGAATGTTGATCTGGACTTTTACAGAACGCTGAGCGCCTGTTCAGCCACCAGGCGGCTGGACGACCAGTTGACTCGCTCTCTGCTGAAATCACTCATCAGTGAAACTCATAAAAGATAAAACCAGGAGTTTTACTGATTCTCTAGATGCTGTATGTAAGTGTTTTCAGAGCTTTGTAGTTTATAATTATCACACAGTAAATGTTAAAACCCCTCAGGCTAACATCAGTTACACAACACAGCAAAATGGCATTTAAGCAGTTTTGTTGTTGTTGCTGTTTTTTAAAAAAAAGAGTGTTTTGTTTTTTTTGCATAACCAGCTGGTAAAGATGTGAAACAAACAGTCATGAGCTGGTGATCAGGAGTCTGCATCAGTGAGAACGCAAAGAGCTGCTATGAAAAACTCAGAGAGACAACACTGTGTGTGTGTGTGTGTGTGTGTGTGTGCGTGTGTGTGTGTGTGTGTCCCGCTGACGTTGCTACCTCTCTGCTCTCTGGTCTGGCACCACCATGGTGGACGTTTACAGGTTTTGGTTGTAAATACGACGGCGTGATTTAATGGCCTGCCTGTAAACTGTGGCCCAGACATTCACGGCGCTCTCATAATGAATTGTTGTGGTTCTGGTCATCCTCTAACACACCTTTGTGTTGCACCATCATCGGGTCAGAACGGTAATTTGTCAATTACTGTAGTTTATGATGAAAGCGAGTGACATTCCCCATGAGCCTCGACCCAACTTCATTTGCTGCTAATGAGCAAATCCTGACATCATAGCTCACTTCATTAAGACCTGTGCGTTAACGTTGGTTGTGGACATGTTGTATTTATGCTGTAAATAAAACTCACAGATGTCATCAATGTGCCACATCAGCAGCACCAGGTGTTGGGAGATGAAACGTGATGAAGCTGCGACCGCCTCCTCACGTTCCACCGGACACTTGATCCCGTCCCCCTGGACACCGGCCCACTCCCCACGTCTCCACGTCTCCACCGGAGAGACGAGGATCTGACAAAGCGAATCCCTGCTGCAGCGAGAGGGCCGGCATCGCTATGGTTACATACCTCCATCTAATTACATTACCCCAGGCACTGCCATAGCAACTGTGCCAACTGCTGGGTCTGCCAGGGAAGTGCAGAGGCAGCCGGGTGACACGCTGATGACACCTGTTTACGCTGATTATCTCGGCTGTTGTGTCAATACCTGACTGGATTACTAAGCAGCGGGTGACGACAGGACGGTGAATCCTGTTTCACAACGACACAGCCGCTCTGAGCAGCACGAACAAACACCTACACGGACACCAAACAGCGATCAGAAGGTGTTCACCGACAAATCAGGGAACACGGAAGCATTTTAACACTGATGACGGTTAACGTCATGTGCTGCACAAAATCTGAGAGAATTTCCATTTCTTCATAAAGTATAGTCACTAATACTTTTTGTTTCAGGATAATAGAAGTACTGTTGTCTCACAGCCTCATTCATTTAATCCATCACATGTCATCACAGGTTTTAGTGATATCTCAACTAAAGAACTGTCATTATCCATCCATCCATCATCTCTACACCTTAATCCTCACCAGGGTCATTGGGGGCGGAGCCTATCCCAGCTGACTCAGGGTGAAGGCAGGTTCACCTGGACAGGTAA